TGTCATTTTCTTTGTAATTGTTCTACCAAGTAATCAATACATTGAAAAGAAAGGGGGAAAAAAATGTTGTCATCTGTTGCTTTCCCTGTATAATTTCCCCTTACTTTTGCCCAATTTTTCCCTAATGAGGACATGGCTGCTTCTCCTACTTCTACCCCATTTAGTCTGTATGGGTGAATTAATCCAGCCATGTCTTCTATCCACTTATCGGGGTTCTCTGCAACATGTGTTATTCCTTCCACAGCCTTCCTGGCCTCTTCTAAAGTCCAGGGTCTAAAAACATAAATGTGTGGTGACTGTCCATCTCTAGGATTTGGGTTTGGGACCTGGATCATTGGATATTGTTCTGTACCGTCAAAACTGTTCAAAACTTTTGGCTGTTTGTACTGCCTTAGATTATATGAATGTCCCTGATTACTGGGACCTGCGCCTTCCTTCTTATATAGCTACGGTGAGTAGACAGGAAGGGATGGATAAAGTGTATTTGGAGTGAGAACTGACAGTGGATCTGTGGTCAGCTCAGCTGGTGGTGATTTTGCAGGAGTGAGAGTTGGAGGAGCCAAGGGGAGCGCTGCCTGTGTGCGCGGAGGAGGGGCCTGCATTGCACCTAGTATGGGCTCATTATCTTCTGGCTTTACAAACAAAGTAGTGGCTTCCTCACTTTTACTCCTTTTGTCTTTGTTTTTTCTAATTTGTTCTCTCCTTTCTTTAGTTGCATCTAACCATTGCTTAGCACATTTTAGTTCTTCCTCCTTTCTTTCTCTCCTCCTTCCTTGTTTTTCAGATATGCTTTTTTCTAATATTCCCACTAAAGTTTGCCATTGTTCAATTTTTAATTTCCCATCTATCTTATATTTCTTCTTCCATTTTGACATGTGTACTGTGCTACCAGGAAATCTGGACAGCATGTACTTTTCATCCCCTGTGGGATCCTCAACAAGTGAGAAATTACAAGAATTTTTATTTCCCATTATTTAAGTACTCTGCAATTTAGCTTTAGAAATGACTTGATATTTTGTGCTCTCTCTCAAGTAAGTGCTGGAGGTCAGCGCTTAGTGTCCCCTGAAGAACAGGCTTCTAGACTGAGACTAGCCTCAGTCCGGTTCTTCACTTAGGATTCTAATTCCGAGGACAGAAAGTTTTACTCACAGAGAGAGATGAGCACCACTCGCTCTCGTATGCACACACACACACACACACACACACACACACACACACACACACACACACACACACACACACACACACACACACACACACACAGCACGGCAGCAATGACACAGCAATAACGATCGCAGCAACAAACAATGACACAGCAATAAAAATCGCAGCAACTAACAATTTCCTATCAGTGCGAGGATCCTTCCTTATGGGAAGTCCTCATTAAAAGAGGGGCTCTAAAAACACCTCTCTCGTAGATTTTAGTTGAGACAACAGGGAATCTACACCCTGGGACTTTAGTCAGAATGTTATTTGACATGGACTCCAACCTTTTAGCTGATACGCATCAACTGGGCCTTTAAACCTTTGGTACTTTAGTCAATATATTATTTGACAAGGACTCCAACCTAGAATTTATGGTACTTTAGTCAAAATACTATTTGACAAGGACTCCAACCTAGAATTTATGGTACTTTAGTCAAAATACTATTTGACAAGGACTCCAACCTAGAATTTATGGTACTTTAGTCAAAATACTATTTGACAAGGACTCCAACCTAGAATTTATGGTACTTTAGTCAAGATATTATTTGACAAGGACTCCAACCTAGAATTTATGGTACTTTAGTCAAAATACTATTTGACAAGGACTCCAACCTAGAATTTATGGTACTTTAGTCAAGATATTATTTGACAAGGACTCCAACCTAGAATTTAGCTGATAAACATCAACTGCAATATCAATTGTTTCACTTACGCTTTCTGTCGGCCCGTTCTGTTCGGTCGGATCTCGTCAACCCGCCACCGGCAGACAAGTCGGACCTAGGTCGCTGGCCTGGCGAAGAATTCACTTCCCGGGTCTTTCTCTCCAGGTCCTATTGACTCTGGCCGTGCACGGTTTTCAGCGTGTCCTTTCTGCCTGTCAGTGACGGCTCTTAGAGATCCGGGTCACGGCACCAAAATGATAGGTATTTGTGAATCTAGATAAAAGAACAAACAGACAACGCAAGTGAATTTTATGAAAGCTTTTGCAAAAGGAGAGAACCCAGCAAACCGCTGCTTCCAGCCGTTCACCGAGCGCTCTGAAGACCCTTTGTTAGGGCTTTCTCTTTTATTACAAAGTAGATAGTAGAAAAGGAATGTGGAGGGAGGCAGATAGGAGTATCCTGAAGATACAAGTGGCTGCAGCTTCAAGGTCTGTACACAGCTGCAGCTCCAAAGTCTAACAAGTATGAGAGCTTTTCTCAGGGATGTGAATACTAAATCTATTATAACTACCAATGTAAGAATGATAACAAAACATAATTATTCTAACACAATGTCAAGATAAATACATAAATTAAAGTGCATGCATTATAAATTGAAAATGCATTATTGTGCTGCTCGATGATGTTCATATTCTTGTCTTTGTGTGTTTCTGAGAAGTTTGATAGTGCCTTCTTAGACTTAGTTACTTGTTACAAGTTACTTCATTACTTGATTTGGAAAGAAACTAAGTTAGACTAAAAGTAATTGTTTTAGTTACTTTCAGCAATTGCTGACAACAACACTCTGCCTCCTTGATCTCATTGATCTTAGCCAATACTTAATTGCAAGTTATTTTATAATGGTAACATCAACAATTGTCTCCAGTTATAAGGTTGAACTGGAGGAGAGATTGTTTAATAGTTACAACAGTACAAACAATCTTTAGTCATTTCTGCATGTTTGTGTGTGGTCCACTCTTGTATGGAAAACTCTAAGAAAGATTTTAAAGCCCCCATCGTATCCCCATCCTCCAGGTTGTGCATTACGGTCCTGTGTTTGTTGTCACAGCGCAACGCACAGATCTCCTCCTGCGGCTTTACAACTCAGATGGCTCCACAGATTAGTGACACTTAATATTAATATTAATAATTATAATGACTTTTAGTTACACAACTTTAGGACTTGTTCATTCGTAGCTGTTTTCACGTTTACTGCGCTGTTCATATTTGTCTCAATGTTTGCGGTTTTCTGAAGCACAACATGCTCTATGTTTCTATGTTTATAGAAGTTATTTGTGGCTAAAAACACAGAAACCATCATTAGACTTAAAGAAATCACCTGTTTTAAACATCATAAAAAAGAAAACAAATACACAAAAAATATTTGTCAGAAAGTATTCATTGAACTTCACAAACAAAAGCTGGAAAAAAAAACTAGTTAGTTCCAAAAGGGTCAGTATACAATTTATGAAAAAAAAAAGAGAATCCCACAAAATTCTGGGACAAAAACGTGTTCTGGACAGACAAAGGAAAGACCAACCTGGATCAGAGTGGTAGACAGATGACAGTGTGGGGACAAAAAAAAAAAGCTAAAAGTCTAAAGTTGAGGAGACCATCTGTTGAATATGGTGGTAGTGATAAAACTTGGACTGGTGTTGGTCAGCAGTACCAATGCCCTCGCTTCTGTCAGACTGCCTGAGGGCGGCTGTAGCAGCTGTATCTGCAAATCAGTAGCTTGTGAATGTGCCCTTGGAAATTCCTATTTGAGATTTAAAGGGCATTTTAAATACTTCTTTTTCCAAACACAGTTTTGTTTTTTCTCAAACTGGGACATATACATAACCTGAAGAAAAACTGCTGGGTGGATAGTTACCCCGTGGTTCCCAAAGATTTTCTGGGCCTCCCTATGAATTACAATAAAATCCACCCCAAAAAAGAAAAGAAAAATCAACTGGGCACACACATCATTCAACCAGACATAAACCTTCACACATATTGTTTTCAAACTCCTCTGAAGTTTATTTCACACTTCAGGTTGCAACAAAACACACTACAAACCATCTTCACAGTGAAAAACTTTTGTGTGACTGTTTCTTTTTTCTTTTTCATTCATCCATACCGCTTCCTTCGCCACCCCATGCAACATGCAATAGCACTGCGACCCCTGTGAAATGATTTTTTTTTCCAGCCAGATTTCTGATTACTACTTGTTCTATTTCTTAGAAATGAGGAATTTATAGACAAATAACAGGCTTACAGGATTAACACTGCGGATGGTGTTTTCCCTCCTCCGTTCACTTTTAGTTTCACATCCCATTTCTGTAAACATTCAACAGAAGTCACAGTGAGCGATGACAACAAATGTTTTAGTGTTTGGAATGCAGAGTGGAGCCAGATTTGCGCTAACATTGAAAAGGTTATTTTCTTTTTAGGTGTGATTTTTCTAAATATAAAACTGTCATTATGTATGAGTACCTTTACATTCACTGTAAAACTAAGTAGAAGTCAACCACATGTTCATTTTTGTCACATCAGCTGTAGAAAGTCCTGTTTGGTTTTGTGATCTGCATAAATAACAAAATGTGACTTTGGGGTGACTGGAATATCCAGCTCACTGTTTACAAACTTTTTTTAGCTGGACAATTTCTTTGGACAAAATTACACAGAAGCATTGCAGTACTCTGACATGACAGACAGCTTATTGACAATAACTTTTTATGTGTGTCTTGGATGACTTAAACCTTCCCATGTGGAAACTAATTACAGTAAAGCATCTATAGAAAAACTTTATTTTTCATTTGCTTTGTAGCTGAAGCTGCTGCTCCCTTAACAGTTTTTACTGATGATGCAAAAAGTTTAAGCTGATCTCAAACCTCAGTAGGTTTGTAAAGTGTTATTAAATTCAGTGATTTACTAATTCATGAGCTAAAGGCTTTAGACATAGCATTTGCTTTGTTGGTAAATTGTATGTGTCATTGTGCAGGCAAAAGGTATTCACATCAGAGTTTGAAAGGAAGGTGCAGTTCTTGGAAACAGACTTTGTAAATGAAAAAGGAAGGGGCAAAGAAAGTGAAACCCAAAGAGGAAAGTGAAACTGTAGGGCCACTACGAGTTCGTAGTGGTCCTGCCTCTATAAAACAGGACTGCCTGCTGCATCAGAGCATCAGCAGTTCAATCTGAAGACAGACACTGCAGCTGATCCTGAAGCTTCTAGATCCACAAGATGAAGTCTGCTGTGATTGGATTTGTGACCTGCTTGTTTCTCCTCTGTGCTCGAGGTACTTTGAGTTGTTTTTAGAATAATGGAGTAAGTGTGTGGTGGGAAAAAGAAACGTTACACTTTTCGGTTCCTTGTTATACTGACTGACAGAATATCAGGATGTGACGAGACCATGCTTCTTCCTTTCTTCCACAGCTCAGCCAGCCAACAGGTCCAATAAATGCAAGTGTTCCAGCAGCTTGCTGAGCAGGGTCCGACTGCAGAGCATCCTCACAGAGCCAGTTGTTTACTACCCAAGCACCTTCTGCCCCCGCACTGAGATCATGTAAGTTCTATTTTACTTTCTGAGCGATACAAAACTCAGGTAACCACTCTGCACTGTTCATCCCTATTGTGGGTTCTGTGTTGTTTTTTTCCCTTCCTCTAGTGTTACACTGGCAAACAAGGAAAAGTGTGTGGATCCAAAGTCACGAATTGGACAGCTTATCTTGAATCTGAAGAACAGGTAAGATCAAGTGAAATGCTCAGTCTCTGAGGAGTTTCTGTGACATCAGTCAATGGGGAGTGTTCCAGAAATCTGCTGTGTCATCCTAACAGTCTATTTTTTGTTTCAGGTCTAGAAAAACTGGAGTTGTGTACACAACAACGGTTTCAGCTCACTCTTCCACTTGACGCTCAACACAGCAGGTGACATTCAGACTGTAGAACTCAGTTTCTGAAAGCTGAAGGTGCTGAGCTCCAACTCTGCTTTTCTATTTCACAATAATAAAAGCAGCAAGTGTAGAAAATACCCAGTGATCATGATGGCCAGTTTCTTTATCTTCTGTATACTGTATTATTCCTTGTTAAAAAGTCTTTATATACTTTGTAGATAAATATAAAACTCTACATACTCTAGAACTTTTAGAAATTAGTTTTCTACTATGGGAAATAAAAACAACCTCATACTTTTTGTGTCAACTCTTTTTACACTCATGTTGAATGTGTTTTCAGCTGGGGTAGAACTGAGCTGCGAAGGCCTCCAACGCTATTTGCAGCTTTAATTGAAATGTTATCTTTTTAAGAAGTGACATAGGGCAGTAGGTCACAGAGATCAAAGCAATGCAGCTTATAATCAGATCAATGATCTGTTTGCTGAGCCATTAGAGGTCCAGTGAACATGCAGTAAAAGCAGATGTCACAAGACGTACATTGCACATACTGGTTATACACATTACCTACTGTACATATTGGTTTCTTGAGTTTTATGTTTAAAATGGACTTGTAAAAGCATCCCTGAATTTATTTTGTATTTGTATTATTTTTAGATTTCAATCTCTAAAATATCAGCATGTACAAATAAAAATATTTTCCTGTCTGTCTGGATCCATCATTTTAAAATATGAATCAGATAGCATGATCAGTTATACACTAACAGTAATTTCTTGGAGAGACATGTTTTACCTTTAGTTGAGTAAACGTATGTTGAAATAGTGCTACATTTATTTGAGTAGATCCTTTGAGTACTATACCCACCTCTTATCAGCAGCAACCAGTCATAGATTTTCAACCAAGACAATAAAAATAAGAATTAAAAGACTACAACATAAGGGCAAATATACAGCATAAGAAAAAAAAATACAGTTATTACACAAGTGTCCAACTGAGTGGGTCATTTTCTAAGTCTTCATGCTAAATAATTTCCAAAAAGTACAAAATGTACCTGAATAATTGCACATAAAAACAATAAAATATAAGAGTATTAAAAAAATGTATAAATAACATCAGGAATGCAAATATTTAATGAGCCTGAGTGTAGTTGGTCATAAAGTCTAAAAGCTGCTGGGAGGACGCTTCAGTCTGTCAGTAGATGGCGCTGCATCAGTAAACTCCTTTAGATCGAGGTTGGTAACCAAACTCCTTCCCAGGTTCATGAAAAACTAGTTTCTTTTTAATGGTAACTGCTGAGGTCCTGACATTGTCTTAGAACACCTGAATGCCACATCTGGAACCTGCACCATTTGTAAAATAGTTAAATGGTAATGCTAATTAATAAAAAATGAATTAATTTCCCTCTTTTTCAAAAGCAATATGAAGTTCAGACTCAGCTTTGGCTAAATAAACAATGACACATTTGCTTTTTGCCAATTCTGCCATTCCCCCTGCCCCCCATACTTACTTGGAAACACATCTGCCGGAGAATAAACGAAAACAGAAAGTAAAATGGACTCAGTGAAAAGCAAAACAGTTGTGTCAAATTTTCTTATGGCTCTGACACTTTTACCACCGGATAATAAAACAATAACCTGGTGTTATTTTGGATAAAAAATAAAAAGTAAAATAAAGCAACTTATGTCAACCATTTCAAATAGCCATGTGACACAAGCTTCTGAAATTTTTTCAAAATTTAAATTGCATGTTGAAGAAAGAAGACTGAAATGTTTTGGGTTTTTTTACAACTCCCCTTAGTATTTTTATAAGAGCAGAATACGTTATCTTAATCAGCTGACTGCTTTGCTCAGGAAGAGCAAAATGTTTTTATCAGATATATTAGATCAACGGAAATATACCATACATCTTTTATATAGTTTTGAATAACTTACACTATAGAATTGATATCCCTGTCTTGTATTGTAAAGTTGATTGACAATGAAATTTTCTAAAATCCCCACCAAAAGAACAAAACCACTAGTAAAGGTAAAATATATATATATATATATATATATATATATATATATATATATATATATATATATATATATATATTAACTGAGTTTATTTTAACTCTGAGGAAACTTTACACCATTCTACTCCCAGTCGAGCAGTGTCAGAGAGAATGAAGTTCTGGTGACACAGAGTGAGAACAGCAGCCAGATCTAAAACTGATGAATATCTTGTTTGGAGTCTTTTATTTAGTCATTAGTGAATACAAAACTGCAAAACCAACCATGTCATTAATCCACAGTGTAAGAGAGTAAAATGAGATTCTGACATTAAATCCAGCTGGATGTGGTTCAGAACTATTTCTAAAAAAGTATTCACATTTTTCATAAAGGAATCATTAAACAGGAGTAAATATTATAATACCAACAGAATGACAGTCAGTACATAATCCAACATGTTTAACATCAGCATTTTCTAAGTAGATAAGAGACACATTTAATACTTTGTCTCAAAACAAAGTTTGGAGTCTGCTTTCATAAGCCGGCAATCTAAAAATGTTTAGCATTCCTCATAACTGTAGCCCCTTTTAGATCATAATTTCAATCTGTATTTTAGCAGCTCGGCCTGACCAGATTAACAGAGATAATGGGACAAGATGTGTCGTTGATATTGCTCCACCACTGCTACACCTACAATCATACTCAGCATAGCCATAATGGTGATGTGACAGTATGCCATGCCCCTTTGGTTCAGACTGCTCTGAAAGCATTTATTGATCCATGATCCTGCCAGTTTGACCTGTAGCTGATCTGTGAATGGGAAGGGGAGTTGTGATTATTACAAAACTCTGATCTGAAAGAGGTTCTAATTGATCTATGTGGCACATGAGACTTTTGGTTTACCCACCTCCAAAACATACAAATCCATCAAGAAATAGCCCTCTACACTGACACCACTAACAGAACAGATTAAGTAGATAAAGTCTGAAAAGCATTCAGATTAAAAAAGTAACACTCTCACTGCCACAGATATGCCAAAATCTTGATAAAATAAAACTTTCTAAACTGTAACTTAACCTCCTCTAAATAAATCAATATATTAAATCTGTTAAATTTAGCTGAAGGTTATGTAGGTTAAATGTATATGTGTTGCATGAGTGTGCCTGCAGGCCCAACATGCCTGTGTGGGCCAGTCCCAGCAGGAAGTTTCTGCTAATTCTGCCAGTTTTGCAAACAGCAGCAAACTGAAATATCGATCAAGCCTAAGCGTGTCAGCTTTGGGCCAACCATTAGCTGCTGGCATCACATTCCTTTAAGTGAAATCACATGAACAGACACATTCATGCATCCTCTGACATGCTCAGACTGAACAAATGGGACTTCCTGTTTGGAAAGTCCCTGAAAAGAATGTGATGTGTGAGATGGACCGCTCAGAGCCTCCAGTGAGATTGCATAGGACATTCAGAGGACATATATGTAACAGATATGTTGGTAACATAAAAAGGTATTAAATGTTGGCACAAATATTAAAATCTGTTGGCACTCTTGTCTGCCAACAGGTACTGGTCACATCATCACCAGGACCTGAAGGACTCCAGCAGGGGACTGGTTAACACCACCAGAACTTGCATCCAGAACCAACCAGGCCAAAGTGATTTCTTTGGCCCAGTTAGTTTGGAACCTCTAGGCCAAGTCAGGACCAGATAGCCGAGTTGAACCCTGATGACTGAGTCGGTCTCTAAAGGTGAAGTTGGGACCCAGCAGCGAGTCGGACCCTGAAGATGAATTTGACCCTAAAAGTTGGACCCTGATGGCCTAGTTGGGAGCCAGCAGGTGAGTCAGGCCATGAAGACTGGGACTTGGCAGTCGGGACAGACCCTGACAGCCGAATCCCGATTTGCCCCTATCGACCAAGTCAGACATTGAAGACTAAATCAGGACCTGGCGGGCGAGTCAGACTCTGACAGTTAAGTCGGGACTGTGTTGGTCCCTGCTGATCTGTCTGCAGTGGGTCCGCATGGTCTCCTTGTGTACACATGTTCTGACTGGGTACTGTCTTAACACAAACCACTCAACTTTCTTCTTTTGTCCGTCTTAGTTTGTGTGTGTGGGTGTGTACAGCTGCATCTTCACTTAGAAATATTTACCTTACCAGAGTTCAGCCAGGATCTGAACTCTGGCAGCCAATTCCAAAACATTGTGTCCGATAGTTTATATTTCGGTTGATCTGGATGGATCCTTGGACTTGGCATCAGAGACTTGAAAGTTTTGGGTAAAGGTTGACTGCTAAATGGATCTGTTACCCTTTCAAAAATCCATCTGCCATCTAAAGAAAAGCAACCCCACAGTATGATGATGCCACCTCTGTGCTTCAATGGTGTTCTTTTGGTGATGCTCTCCACCCATGGAAAATTCAGAAGACAGCTGGAGTCACAACATACAGCTCCAGTGGAGAGCTTCAGGTAAATGATGCAAATGTCAAAACACTCCTGCTAGGACAGCTGAGCTACATCAGGTTCATCAGATCATGTGAGTGTTGTTTGGTGGATCAATAGGTGCACAAAACAAACATTTAGTTTAACATGGTGCACATTTACAACCAAGCTACTGATGATTTCTCCCCTAACTGATGTATATTTACCATTGAACTAGTATGCATGTCTCATTAGTGGTGGAAACTGTTTTACCATTATTTTATATATATATATGTTGATGTAAATGTAAAACACTGTCAATTTCACACCACTGTGTATATTTTGATGTCCACAATAATTTCCATTTAGAGTGCACATAATATTGGATTTGCATGATTTCTTGCATAAAAAAATCAAATCATTTGCCAGTCTAGCACAGATAACAGCTGTGGATATATCAAAGGTGATGATTCTGGGTTAGTCTGGCTGTCTGAGTATGTCCTGAGGCGAGCTGCATGATTCCTTTCCTCTGGACACAGCTGGATTTATGTGTTAGCCAGCAGCTGGCCAGGCAGGCGCAGGAACACCACCATTACAGTGATGTTATCGCTGGACCCTGCTGCCTTGGCATCACCTACCAGTCTCTCAGCAACTCTGTGTCCCACTCCATCTTCAGCGAGTTCTGGTGGAAGACTCCCTCCAGTTTCAGAGTCATCAGCACCCCAGAGCGCCTTAGCAACAAGATCTGGGACCTCTGAAGGTTTGATGGCATCAAAGAAGCCATCACACGCTAGCAGCACATAGTCCTCATCCCCCGACAGCTGGATGGTTGAAGAATCAGCGTCCCCAGACACATATGGCTTCTGGTCGAAGTCGCCTGGATTTAGGGATATGACTGGGATTAGTAGCTTGGAGGAAACTCACAGCACATCAGGCAGACAGAAAAGCCTCTTCACTGAGGAGGCTTTCATTTTCTTACTTTGTTTCCCCACACAGAGCCTCTTCTGCAATGAAAACTGGAGCAAGCTCAGAAAAGCTCAGAAGTGCTACCTCCTGGTTATTATTAAAGTTTTTAGAATCAGTGCATTGTTAATAGTTTGAAGGTGCTGTGCACTCCACTTTAACACTTCAGTTGCAGTGTAATGCAGGGAAGTTATTTCTGTCTGAACTGCTCAAGTTCCAAATTGTTAAAGACGAATACTTATAAAAATATACATAGTTTACATCTTAAATATTAAGTATGTTGTTTATGTCTCATATTAAGACTTGTCTCTAAATGAAAATCTGACTTGACTTTTAAAACAACTCAAGCTGACAAATTTCAGATCATTGGGATTTAACACTATGTTAACAGAGATTAACAATCTACAGTTTCACAGCAGAGCAGCAGTTGGTGCTGCATGTTAAGCCGAGTAATGTCTGTTCTTTTTATCACCTCAAAAAAAAATTTAATTTTAGTTATAAGGTTCCTGAGGAATAAAAATATGAAACTAGATAAAAATATTAAATATGGCAAAGGCCACGTTTTCAACAATATAGTCACATCAAAAGCAAAAGCTTTTTCTTGAATTGTGCAGCGTGGCACAGTCCTGTGTTCTCCGTTCTGATTGGTTGAGGATGTCTTACCAATGGCTCTCGAGACCGCATAGGTGCCATTAACTCGCCAGCAACCCATGAAGGTGATACAACCCCCAAGATCTTCTATTCTCTGTTTTTCATCCTGTAAAACAGGGAACAGAAATAACATAAACATCTAACTCCTGCAGTAATGTGTCTGTATGCTGGTTTAAACTGTTAATCCTTTGATCCCAAACAGGTCAGAAAAAATAATGAGAAAATGTGGCCATTCAATGAGACTTAATGAGAATAAAGTACATAATACCGCCCAATTTTTTTTTTTAATTTTCTTTCATACATAAATTTTTTGAATCAAAATTTTAAATAGTGTGGAAGGTGTGCCATAACCTGGGTGATCTGTTGTTTTCAATCTGTGTGTAGTCTACATTTTTAGCTGTTTATATGTATTGCATGTTATTGTTATTGTTTGTTTGGGCAGCAGCAACTATTTATTGCACACCTATGTGTCCATTATAAATTTCTCCTAGGGGACAAAAACGCATATTCAATTCCATTCTATTATACCAGTGTCATTTGTTGTTGGCATAGCAGAAAACAAAGCAAGAAGAATTAGTAGAATGTGTACCTCTCTCTCTGGTTTGTGTGGGTCCATGAGTGTAACAACCTGTCCCTTCCTAACCAATATTGCCTGAGAGTCTCCGAGCCAAGCCACAGTCAACTGCTGACCATGAATCAGCACGGCCACCCCTGTGCTCCCACTCCGCAGACGCTGTTAACACAAAACTCCACATATAGATTCATCTGAAGCATACAGTGTGGTTCATGAAGCGAAAACAACAGCTTGTAGAACATTACTATACCTCTCTCTTGGCTTTGCATCTGAACATGTTGTCTGTGTTCTTGAAGGCAGTTTTAAAAGCCATGTCCGTGTTGCTCTGCAGCGTCTCCTGTTTGCTCAGAACAACATGGAGGTGAGTGGCAGCGTAAATGGCTGCATCCACTCCCCCGTGACCGTCGAACACAGCGTAGTAGGCCCGCTCCACTCCATCCTAGATCAGGATCACAGCCAGGCTGGGTGATAATGGAGAACACTGGCAAAGCATTGTTTACTTTTCAGGGTTTTTACCTGAATGCCGAAGAGCTGGTTGAATTCAGCCAGTGCCACATGCTTGTCCTCCATCTTCCTCCTTGTGTTCTTGATGGCATGAACAGAACACTGAAAGCTCGGAGGAGGGAAGGGGAAGGGGAGCTCCTGGTTCCATCTGAGTGCTACACCTATCAGATGCCTAAGGAAGAGCCGCTGGACTGCTTCCGACTCGAGTACTGGAAGCAGAGCAGTGCCAAAAATACATATTTGAATAACTAGCATAGAACTGCAGCAAACAAATATATTAGTAATTGATGAATCCATCAATTATTATGTAGATTAATCAAGTAATCAGATAAAAAAAATTGACATTCTGCAGATTTTTTTTTACCCAATCAAGTCTTTTCATACAGCATTAGAAATGCAAAAAAACAAATAATTGAATTATTTTTTTAAATAAGACAATAAACATTTTCCCACTTAAAATAAAAAAAAAACTGAATTCGTCACCTTTTCTAGCAAGGGATGCACCTACAGCTAAAAAAAATTATTCCAATATTGATATGTGAAAGCTCAGGCCTTTCTGCTCAGCTTAACATCAACTCAACTCAGCTCAACTTCCATACTGATCTGGTCATTAATTACTGGTTCATAATTGGAAAGTAAAAGATGCTTAATAGGAGATAGTTTTTTACACAATTCGAACGATGTAAATCAAACAATTCCAATTGGTAGGTTTTGGATAGAACATATTTACCTGCAATTAGGGTTTTTCATCTTAAAAGCGAAACATATATACCTTTCGTGTAGTTTTGACTTACTTACTGCCCTGAGTATGTTGTTCCTTCACCAAATGGCATTAATTTTTTGGAGTATTTATATTACAGCCAGATAACAATCATTCTGACTTATTGCTTCAGTCCTAAAATAAAACCCCATTCTTATTTTTGCAACATATAACAGGCAACTAAAAAAACAACTTACAGACAACTTTTTCCTCATCTTTCAGGTTTGCTTGAGCTTCCTGTGGACAGTGAAATGGAGAAAGGTCGTCCTTCAGAAGCTGCGTGACCGCTGCTTGGCAGAGGAGAACCCTGAGGCCTGAAGGAGCTCCCCTGAATCACACAGACATGCATATTCAGATGAAGTTCTGAACGTGAGCAACAAACAGCTGAGCAGATAGATGGACATAAAGCCCAGAATAGAAATAGGTTTGCTCCAGAAAGATCTAGACCCTGAAGAAGTTTCATCAATAGCAGGTAAAGTCAAAAGTGAAATAAGTCAACTATCACTCCTGCATTTTTACAAAATGCCATATCTTTGAAAAGAAAACCAAGTTTAGGAAGCAGGAAGCTGGCGAAACAATGATGTTTCTGTAGACAGGATATGATCTCTTCCTGACAGGGTAAAGTGGAAAATGTGGGAATGTCAGAAAGCACATGAGCTTGTGATACATTTTCTAAATTTTATAGAATTATTTTACTCATTGTTTTCCAACTAAGGACTAATCAGTTGAAAAATTGTTATTCTTTAAAAAAGACTTAAAAGTTGGCTTCACTTCCACAAATGGAGGCAACATATGCTACTGCTACCACAAAATGGCATTAAGACACCATCTTGTTCGGTGTTAGCCAATCTTTTTCTCATTAGTGAGAGACCCTACCAGCAAAGAAAACATTCAGGCTCAGGTGGTTCTGCTGGATCATTCCGCTCATTACTAATCTCACCTGGCTTCATAAACTATCCTCAATAACCAAATAAATGAAAACTAAGGCACTCAACCACAGTTTCTTTTTCAATTCACCAATCCAAAGACAAAAATACAAGGTTAGAATGATGGAATAAAAACAAAACCTAAAACTCACTGGGACCCATTATTTAAATTCCACAAATATTCCTAAACATATTTAGTTTCTTTTATTCACTTTGTTTCTGCCACATTGTTATTCATGTCAGCATTCAATAAAGGTTCTATGTATATGGAAATTTATGCAAATTAGGTGATGATATTATTTAGCAAGTTTTAGTTATTTATAGGACAGCCAATAAGCAATCAAGACAAGGTAACTTTATTCATGAAGTACCATTTATACACAAGTAGGGCTACTCAATTATTATTCTATCAATCCAAAAACAATTGGCACATTCTGCAGAATTATCAATTAACCACTTCAGCCTTATCTATGCGATATTAGAAATACACTAAAAGATGCAAATAAACAAATAAATTATTTTTTAAGATAAAATAGACATTTTCTCACCTAAAATGCAATAACAGCAATCCTTTAGTGAACGCTTAATCATTTGGAGCACAACTAAAAGAACACTTTTAGCATCAATATGTGAAGTGTCCAGGCCTTTCTGTAGCCTGAATAGCAATACATTGTACGGCTGACCTATTGACTAGTTCTTAGATTAATCATGTAATAATTGAATAGTAAAAGGTGTATAATAAGTGGGTTTTTTTTTTTTTTGTTTGTTTGTTTTTGTTTTCAAGTATCTGAACTCGGTGAAGATAAAACTTGTCACAAAGAGTTTTGGGATGAAAACAAAGCAATTTTTTTTTCATATTGAAAAATATATAAATTTTTGTACAGTTTTGGTTTAATTATTGCTCTGAGTTCAGTAGTAATTAAAAGGCAATTTGTATACTCCAGCTGACCAGTTGACGGTTATTTATCATGACTGTCTTAGCACTATACACAAGATAATCCAAGGTTACCCATAGAACATCAAAGGAAAGCATTAATGAAACATGATAAAATTCAGAAATTGAAACTAATTTAAAAAGAACTTCAGCTAACTCTATGTGGAGTAAGCCATCTGTCAGAAAATCCAGGAAAAGAAACCTCACACAGCTCCACGTGTACCACATGGTGAGCAGAGCATCCTCTGTAGAGCAGTTGGTTTTGTATGTAAACTGGTCTGGGTCTGGTATGGATGGCAGACGTGAAGTGATATGACTCTGAACCTGTTTCTCAGAACACTGCATGATGAGCAATGTTCATTTTTGGAAGCTGGATGATGGAAGACTTTAAACATGGTGGGATAGAGCACTAGGTCTCTCCCTCAACAGTTCCTTGACCTCTTTGTTCATCCGGGCCTTCTGGTTGGGAAAAAACAATGCAAGCTCTCTGAATATTTTTGGTTCATCGAATGGTGAAACTGAAAACAACCAGATATTTTCCATCTTTGACCCCTTTAACAGTCGAGGAACTGATAAACCGTCTGTCCAAGCTGATAACATAAAGCGTGCCAGCTCTTCTGATGGCAAATGTTTCTGAAGTTTAGAGAAGTTAACACCTGACTTTTTCCTTTGTGGGACAATAAAGATGTATTTATTATTTCTAATAAATCTATCAATCTCTCTTTACCTTAAACCCCAAATATCCAAAAAGGCCACCAGCATTTCAATATCAGACATAGGTTAAAAGTTAAAAAGGACAGAACAGACCAGCTTTGTTGTATTCTGTTCAGCCTTCCAGTTACCTGCTGAAAAGTCTGAATCTTTCGCAAAAAGGAAAAGCATACATCACGTCACTTTATATTCAGACTGTTTACATAGGATGAGTAGCTTTTCTTTTAGAACTGTAGTGGCTTCCCCCAACAGAGTTAACAGCGGATCATTAATGATCAGTGCAAGGGAGACCTGCTAAAGAACGTGAAAAATGCAACCAACCAGACATGTACGTGCAGGACTGGTGGATAAAGGAGTTAGGTAAATAAAAAAAACTCCGGGAATCAAACATTCTCTGTCTAACTGGGTGTGGATGTGTAGGCTTCATGTCGGAAGGGTATTTAACAAACTTTTAAAATGAAAGCTAGCTTTTAAAGAGATGGAAAATGTCATCCTAAAAGTTTTAAGAGGTAAAGTTTTTTTTAAAGGGTCTTCATAACTTGGTGTGGTATAATGTCATAAGCATGACGGATGAATGTTACAAGCAAGAGTATATTTGGATGTGATTTCTCTAGTATTGATATATGAGGCAAAGTCAGGAAATCAAAGTACTGTAAATATGAAAGCTGATAAATACTTCAGAAAATGGGAGGTTTGTTCAAAAAACTTGGATAGTCCTCTTGAAATCATCCTTCAAGAGGAGTAGAAGGGGTTATGAGGCCTATTACCCACAATGAGTATGTAGGATGTGTGGTACACCCTGGATAGATCCTTCCTTGAAAGGGCTTTCTTCAAAACTATTATCTATCAGTTTATCTGACTCAGGGGTGCTCAATAAGTCGATCGCGAAGGTTTTGAGTCGATCTATTTAGTCGAACTTGACTAATTACCTCGTTCGTTTGCAGTAAACGTCACAAGAAACATCAAATAGGACAAATATATTTGATTAAGTTTTAACAAACAAATGGCTTCTACCACAATAATTATTTGAAATTAAATTAATTATATCCCAAATTCAGAGGATTTGCCTTTACCTCTGCAGAGCTCTTTGGTTCCTCTGATCAGTCTGTAGTTTCTCATATTGACATCATCAAACCAAATTTCAGATCTACCATAACTGACTGACACCTACTGGCCTCAGGTTTGCAACCAGCTTCTGACTGAGAAACCAGTAACCCACTCCCAGTGTGAGAATCTCACTGAGGAAGAAACTGCATTAGGTTTTCTATCACTTTATCATTTCTGATATAACTGATGTTTATTTGTGTAGAAAATTAGTCAATAGGGTTTAATTTACAATTTTTATGTCTTCGTGTCATGAGGTAGATCTAAGCCGGGTGGTGAGAGAAAAAGTAGATCTTGGTCTCAAAAAGTTTGAGCACCCCAGATCTAACTATTATCTAACTAACTGTTATCTAACTGTTTATATATGATGTTGAAGGTAGCAAAGATAAATTCCCCAGTTGGTATGTTCCCCATGCATAACAAACAGCCGGTATTGAGGTCCAAGCCAAAAGAATGAATGAAGTGTATATCCATACCGAGCAGCCAGCAGCCTCTGGCCCAGCTCCAGACTCTCTCCTTGCAGCTCCTCCAGTGAGACTCTCTGACTCAGGGAGCTGACCGGCAGAGGAGTATCTTCTTCCATAGCAGCAGGGAATTCCTCTGCAAGCTTCTTCAGGAAGCACTGGGCCTCTTCCTCCTCCATTCCAGCCACCTGGGATCTCTGCAGACCGCAATCTGATGAACAGCTGACAAAGAAAACTAACTTTACTGAACATGTTTAGGTCGAAGACATGTAGACATTCATCATATACTAAAACAAAAAGTTGTATTTCCATTGCTAAATATATGATGATAGTAAACTAGCAAGTAGCCAAAAGTATACTTCAGTTCAGTGATAATAGTAACTCCAAATGTAAGGATTTATTAATCATGTGTATTACTAAAATATATTATTATTTTACAAGTAAATTACACCATTACATAAGCAAGTAGAGGTAGAAACATGGCTTTAATTATAGATTAAGTATAAACTGAAACATAAATATAAAACAAATAATATCTGTGTTAAAACCAATTTAGTGTAATGTAGCAAAAAACATGGTTATTACTGTGATGTTACAAATGAATAACTTCACTAAAATGACCTAACAGCATATATGTTAGTTAAACTGGTAAATAAATCTATGTTACACACTCCAACAATAATTGTCCAACCCAGGTTTTCCTAAATTAAAGATGGGAAATAAGTTGGGATGAGGAGACGGTTGTTCCTGCATTGTTCATTAGAGCGGCAGGGCTAAGCTCAAGTAATTTCAGCTTGATGTCTCTCCATTAGAGCTTAATCTTCTGGAATGCCCGTTTCCTGGGAAGATTCTGTGATACGACAACATCTTGATTCACAACTTTCAAGCAGTTTTGTGGAGCAGATCAATTACCGAAGTGGTTCATATTGTTCAACAAAAATAAATCGCAACCAAGTCGGTATGCAGAAACAGGAAGTCGTGTTGCTGCTTTTTGTTGTTGTTGTTGTTGTTGTTGTTGTTGTTTTTAACATTTAAACACAAACTTCCGCAAATAGCCCAGCAGAAATCAGTTTTGTAAAAACTTAAAGTGTCCTTAGAAAACAACAAAGGGCGTCCTGAAGTTATCAGGTGAGCCTGGCTCAAAAAGCGAACAACTAAAGATGGATAAGTAACGGTATAGTTGAATCTGAAGAGAAGAAGAAAGCTGGAGGAACTCGATGAGCGGATACGGACACCTTAAAATGCTTCTTTAAACATATGATCATGTTCACCCACAATTGTGTCGTCAGAAGCTAATGGGTGCAGAAATACTCATTTTAACCCAAACAAAAACTTGTGTATTCGTCTTACCCTGAGATAGAAACAGTTCCTTTGTAGAATAGTGGCACAGAAACACGCCCTTCAGCTACACAAAGACGAGAGGAGATTTATTTATCACGCTGCCTACTTCCACTATCTGCAGGGATGATGAAAACAACATCTGAACTGAGCAAGTACTATCCATGGTGTTTACATATCAACTGAAAAGCTCCGCTTTACATTGGACCCTTCGTCTGAAAAGGACTTCGTTGCAGGAAACAGTAAGGGGTGAGGACAGACCACATGAAATGGGGCCATTGCACTCCGGAAGTGAAGGGGGCGCTATTTTCTATATTATCCACTGCCTCTCGATTTAATTGTCTTTTGAAATTTGTGATATTTTTACCTATAGGAAGTGGTACAAGACAATTGTTGAGTCTTGTACCACTTTTTTCCAGCTCCGCGGTTGGTGTGGATACATGAGCAAAAGACAAATAGACAAACTTTTAAAAAATACTTTCAGTGGCAGGGTAAAATAGCTGGGAGGTGAAACCAAAAACAATTCTTTCAACTGTTTGCTGAAAGAGTGAAAGACCGCAAGGAATTTTGTAGCAGATATAATCCATCCTTTTTTCATGAGTTTGAACCTCTGAGCTCAGGAAGGGGTTATTCTGTCTTTCTTGCAACTAAGAGCACCATTATGATATAATTTATGATGTAGAAACATTAGCAAAACTACATGACAACATTTGCGGCACACAAAGAATTGTCATGTTGCTTGTGGTAACCTGTTTTTGAGTTAGACAGTGCCAGTGCTCTGCCATTGACTCCTGTCCAGTCCAGAAAAAAACTCAAGCTGAGAAATGTAAATTTGATTTCCAATTCTTATAAATATATATCAATGCACATGCATTTCAGTTTTTATTATCATACATATATGTCTCACAAAGACTTTATGTCTTTGTACTGATATGCTTTCATCTTATTTTAATAAAAGGAATAATTTCAGTATATTATTAAAACAAAATGATACTGAAATTATTCCTTTTATTAAAATAAGAGGAAGACGGTGATGGAGCAGGAGGTGGGGATGGAGTCGGAGGGACTGGAGCAGGGGGAGGTGCTGCAGCAGGTGGAGATGGTGATGGAGCAAATAGTGATGAAATGTTTTCAAACTTGCTGTTTGCCAACAGCCAGTTTGCTGTTGATGATTACTGTTGATAAATACATTTGTTTCCATGTTTTTGAGGGGGAACGGATAATTTCAGTCAGGTAAAACAGCTAAAATATTTGGTTCCCCCCCATAATTCTGGCAAAAAAGGAGCAAATGCTACCAAAATCACAGGATTTATTGTTGATGAGAAGAATAAGCACAGTTAAGCATTTGCAGGTAAAATAATTTGTTCCCATTTTATGAAGGGGGAACGGAATATTTTAGCCAGCAGAAATATATGGTTCCCCCCTCATAACTCTGGCAAAAAAGGAGCAAATTCTACCAAATTCACAGTATTTATTGTTGATGATGAGAGGAATAAGCAGAGAAAAAATCTTGCTGGTAAGTGCAGTTGTTCCCATTTTATGGAGGGGGAACAGAATATTTTAGCCAGCAGAAATATATGGTTCCCCCTCATAACTCTGGCAAAATAAGAGCAAATGATACCAAAATTACAGTATTTATTGTTGATGATGAGAGGAATAGGCAAAGTTAAGCATTTGCAGGTAAAATAATTTGTTCCCATTTTATGGAGGGGAACAGAATATTTCAGGCTGCTGAATCATCCATTATTTCCTCTCCTTACTCCATAACCTTGGGGAATAAAGAACAACTGTTTCCAAATTCACAAAAACCTTTACATACACACTACGTGTTGGGAAAACTGTGTTTGGTGACTGACTTTTATTTCTGCCAGACTTACGTGAGAAAAGAGCGATTCTCTTGGTGTTTACAATAACACAAAACAGCGTCAGAAGACCTCGTTTATTTATTTATTTTACAATTTTTTTAAACAACAGCTGCAAATTAAACTGAGTGTTACAACATTGACAGGGTTGTATTAGTTGTTTTTTACCGAGAAATCGATCAGAAGCGACGTGAAAATGATCAGATCCGCCTCTTTCGCCTCTCTGGCTGTAATGCGCGCTCCCGACGCAGGGGGAACAGATTTTCACAGGGGAACCGAATTTCGCACACTTAACCTGTGTAAAGGAGAAGACGACCGGGCCGTTCTTTCTCCACAGTTCTGGAGTCAGAAAGCAAAAGGGAGAAAGGCAGCAAATTCAAGCTGCATGAGTTTCAGCATAAAGTTTCAAAGTCAGTGATGATTTTATATGTTGCTGTAAGTCCAATTTGTTTTAGAGCCACATGCTCTGTGCATTGATAAAATGATTAATATATTGGACACATGGATAAATAAATGTGATGGAAGTCTGTATTTCTAAATAAAAGAATAAGAAAATTATTAATATAAAAGAAAACCTGAAAGGGTCCTGAATGCCAATACTGTGTAGTAGAATGAGATATTAGTGCATGTCTTAAAAATGTGTTATTTATAATGTAATAATAATGTAATAATGCAGTTTTCCAGACATTAAATTTTAGGTTTTCAGTAGCTTTAATTAAGACAGATTGCTGCCCAATCACTTAAGCTATTCAAATCTAAAACATTATCTCAATATAATCTCTTTGTTCAAAGAAGTTACATTATTGAGGAGGGATTTCTGAAACACTTCAAAGATGAGTGAGGAGAATAACACTGTGCACCATGTCTGATTATTAAATAACCTGAATAACAGATTCAAAACATCAATTATATTGTTGAGATCATTATCCAGCTCATTTATTTCTGAATAAATTGCTATTTATTCATGAACTTATCAACAAAAGTTTTAATTTAAAATGATGCTTTATGTACAGTTGTTTTTAACCAAAATGTGATTAGTCATTTACAGACCCCGCAATTAACTCTATAAAGAATCTTCATCAAGTCTTATCACCAGGTCTAATGCATCATAATCAAAATGAACAAAAACAAACACTTGAAATAGCCTATATAATTCTGTCAAATAAATATGAATTTCACTCCACATCAACTGTTTAGCATTTTATTAACGAGCATACTGTTGTTTTTATGTATATTTATGCTGTGATCTAACTGTCTTTAAAACAAGTAGTTCAATACAACAATGATACAGATGAATCGAATATGACTTCATTTACTGAGCTAATTACTTTGCTGATATCTACTGAATGTTTACTGTCTTACTGATGAACACAATGTTTTAGAAGAGATAGTTCTCACTAATCACAGATGCCACATCTTCTTTGACTAAACAAATATTTCCAGATCTCTGACTTCAACCCTGTACTATTTCTTCCTGTGTGCGGGCTAAGGCACATATGCATGCAACAGTAATGTTCTCAAATTCTACAGAGTAGCTGGGTAGGGGGAAGCAAGCTGAGTTTTTCCTGAGAACAGGCATCCTAAGGGTAACGGGGATGGTCTCTAGTCCCAAGGCACTGTTGCAGCTCCCGCCAGAGTGGCTGTCCTGGCACCTGGCCTCATAGATTACTTGAGGTTCTCGGTTTAAGTCAATTTTCTTCCTGTTGGTAGAATAAGAACAAAGAGAGCATAAAATATTTTTTCATTCTATGAAAGCTCTTTGCTCGTTAACTTCAATTTGCATAAAGGCAGTGTCAGATGTGATCAGCTCTTATCTCTTATCTGTCATTGTCATAGTTTAAGGCTTGAGAAATTGAAAATTATGGGTCAAATTAAGATAATTCATAACATTTTACATGCATTATAATGTTGACATTATATTCTAAAGTGATGTCACATGACATAAACACAAAAGTAATTATCTGCTCCACTTCTCTCAGAAAAAATAACTGTGTACTGTGGAGCATAAAATGTTACCAGAATCTAAACAAATTTTTAACAAATTTTTTTCACTTCTGATTTAATGATTATGTTGAAAGTAAATTTGCAATACTCTTTAAATTGAATGAATTAGGTTTAGTGAAACCAGTTCACATAACTTGGTTAAGGAAATTCAACATTTTATTTCTTAGAGTGAAAGGTGCTCAGCAAAATTCTAAAAATTATGCAATATCATAATTTCTCACGTAAAATCAAGTCATCTGTGGCTTTTAGTGAAGACAGAAGCAATATTTAATGCCTGACAAATTGGGAAGGGTTCCAAACTATTGTTTCAGAGGCAGAAAAAAACAGTTGCCAAGTGGACTCAGATTCTTCAGGCTTCAGTAAATATCTTTAAATTTCTGGGGACTACAACTTCTTCCACAACTCAGAAAAATACAATACACTATGAAAACACACTCACTGGTAAACCCAGGTTGCAAGGCTGCGTGTATTGATATCACCAGGAAGGTTAGTCATCTGGTTGTAGTAGTCTTTCAAGGTGTAGGTGCACAATGTTTCTCCAACACACTGATTGTTCAGTGGCATTGCCACACACTGGTGGAGGATCAGCAGGAAGATACACAGCTGTTGCATACACAAAACAATCAAGACTGTATGACTGCATGAATTCCAAAGGAAGAAAACAGTAACCACATCAAATTTCAACGTGTGACAATTGAATTAGGCTATAGTAACCCTGCAGCATCAGCAAAATGGCCTATTAACAAGCAGCAAACCACCCCAGTATTTGATCTGTGGCAAAAGATCATGTTTTACTTTACAGTTGATCACGCTGGTTTTATTTTAAACTCATTTATAATATGTCATGCTGCCAAGATAGTTCCATGCTCTAATTAAACGACTGGCAGAGAGGGCCAATCAGGCTCTGGAGGATACCTCTTAACCAGAGGTAATTGCTGCAACTCCTCATCATGTTTTCCAAGAACATTTTACTAAGAATTTTTGAAATAAAACAGCTCTATGCTACAGAACCCATGAAACAGGAATGATTTGCTGTGAGGTTCCTCCGCATGTCACAATTACAATTTGTCTTAAAAGTCAGAACAGTTGAATTCATGTTATTTAATTTACTTATCTATTTTTTGGATACTAATGTGAAGTCATTATAATTACAATTCTGAGATAAATTTCTCACCTGAAATTTTTCCATGATGTAAGCCCGACTTCTGTTTCTTTCAGATCTTTATCAGTTGTTGGCTTTGTCCTTATGCCTGGCACCAGCTTGGAACCTGTGCCTGGACCTTCCTCTATTTATATGCCATAGTCTTGTCATTATTGCTCCAAATCTGATCATGTTGGTCGAGGTATTGATGAGAACGAGTTGGCTGGACTTTACGTGTCCCAAATCTTAGGGCAAGAT